AAGAGTATATGAGACTTAAATAGATAGGGTTATAAATAGAATCTTATAGGGTGGCTGATGAATTTAATGTAGGAGCCATCAGCCTATGATTACATCCACGTGTTTTGTCTCTCCAATCATTCAATCTGCTCTTTGCTTTTTTTATTTTTTATTCCCTTTTTTTGGCCTTTGGGGTAATTTTTTAAATTGATTATTGTTTAATTAGTGCCATAATAATTCTCTCAGCTGACATAGCTCGATCCTTTGTACTCTGGACAAGTCCCCCCATGTTTCCTAACGTACGTGAAGGGCTACTGCTGCCATCTGTCATTGTCTCACTAATAAATATTGGGCTGAGGAAGAGAATTAGAAAAATCATCTTGGCTTGATTTAAAAATTATACGAGATTTTTTTTTTGGTCAAAAAATTATACGAGATTCAATAGCGTGGATTAGGTGCAGAACACGGCCAACTAACGTGTTCCTCGACTTTACGAATGACTCTACAGATCCGTAGACAAAAAATGGAAAAAAAAAAAAGATCGAATATACGCGGTGCGGATGGAAATAATAGAGTGGAACGATTAGTTGGGCAATTTTGCACACATTGTCATACATGATCTACCCTTCAACAGCTCGGTGATAAGGAATATGATCGACATTTTGAAACTTCAAGATGCAATGTTACATTACCCGAATCATAAATAAGGAAAAAGGCTTGTCCATGATTTTGCGATCATCCATCTACTCTGTATTTAATTGTCTAAATTCTCTTGCCACAATTGACACTCTCAAGTATGAAAAATTGCAAAAGGAAGACATTCCCATTAAAACCTTGACGCTATTGGGCAAAAAAAAAAAAATCAATGCTCATTCATCTAATCAATTACTTATGCACAGGTTTCCTTTGGTCATATAGCTAAGTAAATGCTCGGTTCAGTTTTTAGCGAAGCTTTGAAATATTACATTGGTCAGGCCGGCCCCTTACTATGAATGAGTTCGGCAAAAGTTTAAAGAGCAGCTTTTGACCCCAAAAATAAATCGACCAAAAACCAAAAATTTGGTATTTGGTAAAACCATTCCGAAGTTCTTCGAGTTCAGATCCCGCAATCTTGAAACTCAGAGCTCGAATTGGCTACTCGGCCACATCCAACCGTTGGAGAACTTCTTCGGTGCATTCGATTCATGTAGATTTGGTACATTTTTGGCATTGTTGATCATCGTATGTGAATTCGATCTAACCAATTTTTATGAAATCTTTCATTTTGTCGGTGACCCATGTGGGAGAGGATAATGTGAAATCGCATAACAAAATGGAAGACAAATCAATCATGATCCAATCATGTATCTCATGAAGTCATATTTGGATGGCCCAAGTGTCATTTCAACACTCGGCCGCTCCAAAAACTAAATGCCTAATCTCCGTTTCAAAGTACATTAAAGAATGGGATAATGACACAAACAGTTCATGAACTTTAGCTCAATGTGCAATTTGATACCCGAACTTTTAATTTGTTCAATGTAGTCCCTGAACTTTAGCCTAATGTTCAATGTGGTCCCTGAACTTTCAATTTGTTCAATGCAGTCCCTAAACTTTTGGTACATATTCAATTTAATTCTTGAACTATATGAAAACGTACAATATAGTCCATGAACTTGAATTAATAGAATGACTACATTGGATATTTTTACAAAGTTCAGGGACTATGTTGAACATGTACAAAAAATTTAGGGATCACATTAAATAAATTGAAAGTTCACGGGCCACATTGAACATTAGATTAAAGTTTATGAATATTAGATTAAAGTTTAGGAACTCATTAAACAAATTAAAAGTTCAGGGATCAAATTACATATTGAGTCAAAGTTCATGACTGTTTTTGTCATTTAACCTTAAAGAATCTACAAAAAAAAAAAAGTACATTAAAGAAAAAGAGGGAGGTTACTTTTTGCTTTCGGCCTTTCTTTGGCATTATCCATAAACGCCCCTGTTTTTTCACCTGACTTGCCACTTGAGCACTTCACCACTTGTCATTGTCATCTTTTTTGATAACAAAAAGGATAATCACGTAAACAATTCTTAAATTTTAATTTAATATGTAATTTGATTCCGGAACTTTTAATATATTCAATATAATTCATGAACAGTGACTAAATTGAATATATACTCTATTCAGGGACTACATTGAACAAATTAAAAGTTTATGGACCACATTGTACATTGGGTTAAATTTCAGGGATTACATTTAACAAATTAAAAATTCGGCGATCAAATTGCATATTGGGTCAAAGTTCAGGAACTGTTTGTGTCATTTTTTCATAACAAAATGAAATCTTTTTCGTGTTCTCGTTGTCATTTTTCTTTATGTTCTTTCTGTTTTCCCTCCTATAGAGAGGATAATGTTTTCATGTGCTTTTAGATTCGAGTTATTGCATGTAGTGTGGACAAATGGTATGCTGGGACAAAGTCGTTGTCGATAGTGGAACGTTTCTTTCACTCTCCTTCTTTTGGCGGGTCTAAATTGAGATATTTTCCTTTTGCGAGTTTTCAAATATGGTCATTTGTTAAGTAACTAGATAAAAAAAGGTACGAAACGCATAATCTTTTCAATTTTTTCTCGTGGTACAATACTTTGAAAACTGGATGATTATACCCAGTAAGTGTCGAGGTCTCGGAAGGCATTAATTGACATCTATTTCAAAGATTGGCTGGCCATGATTGGGGATTGCTTGTCACCAAACGAAAACATACGAAGTATCAAATGGAAGGATAAGGATGTGCTGTTATGGTATGTCAAAGCATTTTTGGCATGAAAGGCCAGTGTTGAAATGGCAAACTAGGAAAGCCTGTTCAGAACACGGGTTCCCACAGAAGACCCACCACCATTAAAGCTCAATTCATACACCAACCCCTTTTCCAATTCCTCTCTATATCAATTACGGTTGCGCCTTTTGACAATCACCGGGACCTGGGATTCTCCAGCCATCTGCTTCGATTTCACAGCTTCGGGCGTACGGTACCGGCGTCGGCTCGAGTTTGAGTTAGGTTAGAACTCTCTCTCTCTCTCTCTTATATTCAATCTGCCTAACATGGTGTTTGGTCGAGTGTTGGTGAGTTTTGGAGGTTGATCTTTTGGGCTAGCGTGGATTCTTAGGTGAGCTCGTTTGACAGCGTGCACCTTGGATCGTTTCGCTCATGAATGAGAATATGTTGGATGGCATGTTATTCGGTTTAGGTTTACTGAAGATAGAGAAACCGATCGTGACTTTTTCTCATGATATCTCGATAGTTAAAAGAGATCCAAAGGTTTAAGGGTTAGTTGCAACCGATTCACTTCGCAAACCGCTATCTGGATCTAATTAGGTTTCGAGACCCAACTCCATTGTGCAAGAGTTAAAAGCAGCTATCGATCACGGCTTGACCATGTCCTAACATCGCGATACGTGGATCGGAGTAGTCAGATCCTTGTAGAAATGCGATCGGGCATGACACCGCTCGCTATTTGTGGGGAAGGTTTTGCTCGAACCAAAGTCCATAGATCGAGTGTGATTACTAGAATCAAATCCCATGAGATCTACACGATCAACGAATAAAATTAAGTCAAAATCCATCATTTAGCCGAGTCTAGATAGATTCTGCCAAGAATCATAACCGTTAAATGGGCGAGGACTAACCACTGGGGGGCCACCCTTTCACTTGAGAAGGGGGAGGTGGGGAGTTCGATTCCCCGCATTCTCAGGGGACTAGGTGTGAAGACGTGTAGTTTCAGACGTGGATCTCGACTTTCACGCCTTATAAGAGATAGGATAAAAGTTTGAGAGTGAGTTCAAAGTTAGTGTAGGATAGATAAGAAAAAAAAGGCGAGAACTCGGAATTTGAGACTTCCAAAATCAATGATTATGATTCACTCGATTCACGTAAAATTCCGCCAACCATACCGGCACGTGGAGGGGGGAGCGTCTTGGGAGAGGCCTCCCCCTTTGGACCCCACATCCCGCGAGAACTCGGTGGGACTCGAGCAGCGTGCCCTATCATTCAACTCGCGCCGTGCGAGTGCCAAACCATTTCCGTCGCCGCACGCGCGTCCACACGCGCTCTCGCAAGGCGACAACAAACCTCAACGAATCCACCTGCCGTTCTCTTCCCCTTTTTCTCTTCTCTCTTCCTTTTCCTTCTCCGCCACAGCACACCAAAGACTCCCCCGTGGTACCGACCAACCAGAGCGCTCCACGTGGCAATCCCAAACCTTTGGCCCATTTGTTGTCCAAAGAAAATGAAAACAAGAGAGAGAAATCCTCTCGCGTAAAATCATTTATAACAAAAAAAAAGCGATTTCCCCGAACTTAAATAAAAAATATATCTTCAATTAACTGATTTTATTCAAACGGGAAATCAGAAAAATGATCTTTCTCCCGTAAAAGGAAAAACATAGGCAAACTGACGAGAGAAGTCACGCAACAGGCTCAAATTCCAATCATTTTCGGGAAGGGCGATTTAGTAATCTCCACCCCCCCCCCCCCCAAGAAAGCGAAAATGCGAAGAAAAAAAGGCAAAAACGAAAGAAGTCATTATTAATTAACCGACTTGGCTTTTTTGGACAGATAGATTAAAGGTCCGCTAATCATCGAGCGGCGGCAGCAGCAGCAGCTACAACAACTGACGACGACGACGACGACGCGCATTGACGCCGTTAGCGCGCGCGGTTAACGGCGACCACCTCGCTCCGTGTTCCTCTCTCTCTCTCTCTCTCTCCTGTCGCGCTCCTCAACAACCGTCAAATCGTTTCTCCGTCTTCACTCTCTCCCCCGCACACGCACGCCCGCAACCAAAAAAAAAAAAAAAAAGAGCAAGCGAACAGCGACGATTCTCTCTCTCTCTCTCTGTCTCTGTCCTTCTCTCTGTTGGCGAGAAGCCGGAACTTCGCCGGAGGAGGTCTCCGCGGCGCTCCGACCGCCGCGGCGAGGGTGGTCCAGAGAGAGGAGAGGGGAGAAGAAGGAGGAAGGAGGAGGAGACGACGACGACGACGGCGACGACGACGACGCCGGTTCGAGGATTTTGAAATCCCGGGGAGGGAGGTGACGTGCAATGCAGGGAAGAAGAGGAATCGAAGTTTATTGAGGCTTTTCTTTTGGAGGAGGGAGGAGGAGGAGGATCTTGCAAGGCACAGGTAGGTGCGGAGGCGATCCCTTGCTGTTTCGGTCTCTCGGCCCCCTTGCCTTATGCCGTAATTCATTCCATCCCTCCCTCCCTCTCTCTCTCTCTCTCTCTCTCTCTCCACCCGCTTCGCTGTTTAAATTTCTCCCCCTCTCTCTCTCTGCCCTTCTCTCTCTCGGTAATTGCCTTCGCTGCTGCGGGAGAAAGGTAGGAGTTTTTTAAGTCGCGGTTGCTTGTCGAGCGTCGCATTTCGCCTCCGTTGGCCTGTCCCGTGCTCCCTTCGCGTGACTGGTCCTGCGCCGAGCTCGAAAGTTCGGTTTTTTTTATGCTCGTTCGGGTTCGGTAGCTGAATTCGGTGGAATTGAGTGCTGATTTTGGTGTGCGGCTTTCGAATTTGAGCTGATTGTGCCGGTTTCGAAGTGTTTGTTTTTTTTTTTCTTCTTTTGCTTTTTTGTTTTTCGTGGTTGTTGCCGTTTCTGCTAGTTGCTTTGGGTGTTTGCTCTGCGGTCTTGCTCTGCAAAAGTCGATTTTGATGCGGGGCTCTCCAATTAATTCCAGCATAATTGTCAGTGGAATTAGCTTGACGAATTATGTTGAGAATTCTTCCATGTCTTTATTCTGTCTGTCCTCTAATGATTCTCCATGTCTTCCTCGTCATAATTGCATAGTTATGTGCAAGATCTTTTGCTGATTCGAGCTGGAGATTTGTTTTCCGACCTTAGCTTTTCTATTGGGTTTCACCGCTCTCATCGACCTTACGTATTCTGTTCGGTGGTCTCGAGTATGTGTGCGTGCTTGTAATTTTTTAGCAGAAGGGTAAGTCTGGGTTTTCTTTCCAGGTTTCTGTGCAAGTAGGAGTCCTTTCATGCTGCTTCGTTGAAGAAGAGAAGTCTGGGAGTTTTCAGGTTTTGGGTTCGATCATGCCGTCTCCAATGATGGACCTGAAGGGTTTATCCTCAGCATACCACATTTCTGAAGATGTCCATTTCCCCAGTGAGGTATTGGCAAATTATGCCTTTGCTCATTCTCCTATTTGGTTTAACTGCACCGGTGTGGTCATATGGGAGGATTCGGCTAGAATTGTATATCTAAAGTTCATCCTTTTGTTTTGTTATCTATTCTAGTTACCTGACTCTTCATCTCATACTTTACAGAGGCAGGTTGGGTTTTGGAAGTCAGAGGCTATGTCTGACCAAAATGGTCAGTGACAAATTTTAGCAAGTCATTGTTACTTTTATGAATAGCATCACCGTGTGGCGCTGTACCTTTTCTTGTTGGTGAGGCCGAAAGTGCTGTGTTTTTAGCAGTACTTACAGCATTTTTCCCTTTGTATTTGCTTCCTACACTTTTCATGGTGAACCAACACGGCTGCTGCCAATATGAACATGTGATGAGGAAGTTCCTATATCTTCTCCCTGCTTCATAGTGGCATGTCTTTCACGGAGAACAGATTTATTACTTTTGAATCATGTCAAGTGAAAGTATACTTGCAATATAAATATGTGTTCATGTGGTTGGTAATCCCCCTTCTTTTAGCCCCAAGGAAGCACTAAATTGCCCCGATATTGCTTTGAAGGATTGTCCTGCATTATATTCATGCAGACTACAGTGCCACTCTGTGGATATAAGTGTTAAGATGGCAATCTGGTGCATTCTCCTCCAGATGCTGGTTGAACTTTGCTCAAGAGTAGTTTGTCCTCTCTGGTTGTACCACAAGTTCTATTACTATCGATGCCTACAAAATTACAAATAAAATTAAAAGTTCCCTAAGGGCAAGTCTCAGAATAGTAGGGGAAAAAGAAATTCGAAATTGATGGCAAACTGTTTGTAAGGAATCTTTGTTGCTCGACTTTTTTAGTCAGGCTTCTTGTTAACTTTACCAAAAGTTTATGATGAAATGTAATTAATGGCCCAGCTGTATTTAGATTTTAAATAACACCTTGATGGATTCTGATTGTTCTTGCAGAGTTTCATGTGTTAGGTCAATTGCTCTTGAATGCTAATGCTTGATCCCTATCCTAAGCATGACGCATTGTGTAAATGATAGAATTTCCCAAGTTTCTACGTCAATTAGGATGAATTTCTCTTGTCCCTTGCCTCCGTGTGAAATCAAAAGAAGAAAAAGTGAATCCAAATGTGCAAGTGACAGTATATGATTGAGTGGACTATTTGCCCTCTGACTGTTCCACTGATTCTTCACCGGATCAGAAGGCAGTTGAGTGATCGTCTTAGCCTATCTACAACCTCTAAAGTCATAATTGGACCCAGTGGCAGATACGGCTTTGGGTGTCATTCCAGTCTACTCCACTCCGGTATATATCTTGTAGTATCTTAGTATCAAGAAACATGCACGAAGTATGTGTCCAAATTTATATGTATCGATATGAGCTGTGTCGTGAACTGGGAATCTATGCAATATAGCGTTTGGCCAATGAACACACTGAAGGCCAAACAGTGATACCACACGTCTAATCCTCGTAGAACCTGCATGGTAGTTGGAGTCCAGTGGTTCTCCCTGTGACAAGTTGACTGTAGGGTCAACTCTAATATTTCATATCTTTCTGGTCATTTTGTCTCCAATGTGGTCTAGACAGATAGCAAAGTTAGGAATTGATTGTCAATTCAAGATGGGTTGCCTTTCTACCTTAGTGGTCTTATGCTCTGTAACCATGAACTGCATAAATGCATTCCTCAACCTATGTAAAATTGGCTGATCGGCAAAATTCTGCCATGGATCAAGCCTAACTGAGTTCATGTTTCAAGAAGAAAGGCTGGGAAAAACAGTTCAGTTGAGGGAAAAAGTGTATACTTTTTTGTGTTCTATTCGTGTTTTACGAACTATGAATGTGTCAGTTGATTGGGGGGAGGAGTCAATAGTATTTTTCACCTGACTCTTAGTCAACCTTCGAGTGTTTGCAAACACTGTCAATGGAACTTATACTTAGATGCTCAGGACGAGGCATTCCATTCCCTGAACATCTGTAAGGTGTGGTGTCTGTTGTGATACAGACATTTACAGCTGCGAATAAGGATCCTTGAGTTTGGACCACTCCAACCTGTGGATAGGAATGTAAACATTGTATGAAAGGCGTCAGGTTGCTTTGGTTCGCTAGCTGGAGCTAGATAAGGGACCTAAAGTGGTACACGGGGCAGTATTTGTTTTTGGTATGCCAGATTAGATTTGAGGATCCTGTGACACGTCATCTTTTGAAATTTATTGTGAGACATAAGTGATTTGCGCTGATGATGTTGTATGAAAGTCTGATTATTGTTTCCTTATTTGACACTTCTTCGATATTGCTTTTATCATTCAAATCCCAAATTACCGAAAAAGCGACCTACATGTTATGTTGGTAGGTGGATAAAGTTTTTTGGAATTTAAGGTAGCAGTGACTTTCTTCAATTTGTATAAGTTGATCCATTCCATTGTAATCGCATGCTGGGAGACATTTTTTTGCAAACAGCATGAAGTTATCATTGGTAGTAGGAAGCTCTTTAAGAAACTCAATTTGCATTCATTGTGCATCGGGTGGACATTGCGCATTCCATTGTTGGATTCATTCATTTATGGTTTGACGCCTTCTTATTTTTGATAGGAATAATTTTTCATTTCTTCCTTTTGCGTTGCCAAGGCCATTATAACACAAGGGATGAATGGAGTTATGGATTATTTGAATAGGAAAGAGTTCCATATTAGTATAGCTTAGATTCGATTTATTTTCCTCGTCACTGCTGGTTTTCATAGACATATTCTCAGAGGAATTAATTCTAGACAAATTAATTTTGACATTTCTGAGAGGAGCTTTTTCTCTTAACAGCAGGAACAGTAGGTGGAAAGTTTTTCACTTCTTCAACCCTGTCCAAGCTCTCACGAATGGAATTGCCAGCGACAATGTCCGCTAATCTTCTTGAGCCTTTCCCAATGCGAGAAGAGAATGTTAATGCCAGCTTAGATGCAAAGGCTAGTGTGGGAGACAGACACTTTACTCAGTCTTTGGCTTTGTCGGGAACTGCAGACTACGCTCCAGGATCGAAAACTAGTTTGAATGGAAAGCCAGCTCCACATCTTATGGAAAGTGACAGAATTAATGTGATGGGTGCTCGGTCTGAGAACAGTCTATTCTCAAGCTCATTGTCGGAATTATTTAGCAGGAAAAGTAGGCCCTCTCTCTTCTCATTTCCTCAACTATGTTTGAGTTCCTTCTATGAAACTACTCTAATTTATATTCTGTCTCTAACTTCTTTGATGTTTAATTTTGTGTTGCATTGCAGTTCATTATGATACTGCTTGCTGGTTCTTTCAAGTTGGCTTGTGATGCTTCTGTTTATCTCATTGGTTTTGCATCTTCTTGGTGCAGTGAAACTAACATCAAATAGTGCAGTGTATGGCCATTCAATTGACACTGTCCACTATGAAGAAGAGGAAGTACTTGAATCCTTGGAAGAAATTGAAGCGCAGACAATAGGAAACCTGCTCCCTGATGATGATGACCTGCTTTCTGGAGTGACGGATGGATTTGACTTCCTTGCGCAGCCTAAGGCTGGGGATGATGCGGAGGACTTGGACTTCTTTAGTAGTGTTGGGGGAATGGATCTTGAAGATGATGGTTCATCTGCAGGACAGAAGAAGTTTGAATTTACTAGCGGAGTCTCTCCATCAGGAAATAATGCTTCAATTGCAGGGGAGCACCCCTATGGGGAACACCCCTCAAGGACACTGTTTGTCAGGAACATAAACAGCAATGTTGAAGATGCCGAACTACGGGCTCTTTTTGAGGTTGTGCTCTTTTTTGTTTTCTTTACTTTATTTGCAGGTTCTTGGACACGATCCATTCACATCTTCAACACGCGGCAATATGGAATTAGTTTTGAGATATTTTTCCTATGTTGGCCGGTTTATGACCCACTGTCTTCATGATGCAGCAATATGGAAATATTCGCGCTCTTTATACAGCATGCAAACATCGTGGCTTTGTGATGATATCTTACTATGACATCAGAGCAGCCCGAACTGCCATGAAAGCACTCCAGAACAAACCTCTAAGGCGTAGAAAGCTAGACATTCATTACTCAATTCCAAAGGTTATCTGTCTTGTTTTGTCCTTGTCAATGTACAGTTCTTATTTTTTTAGTTGGAGATCCCACTTTATGGTAATATAAATTTCTTCGTCATGTGCTTAAATTATCTAGCACGACCCTAATGTTTTGTTTTTTTCCCATTTATCAGGACAACCCATCAGAAAAAGATATTAACCAAGGGACTCTTGTGGTATTTAACCTTGACTCTTCTGTTTCAAACGATGAACTCCGCCATATATTTGGTGTTTACGGAGAAGTCAAAGAGGTCAGAAATTGTATGGGTTGTACCGTGTCTCTCTTATGAAATTGCGACAAAGTGAATTGACTTGCATACATGTAATTCTATTGCAGATTCGTGAGACTCCGCACCGAAGTAATCATAAGTTTGTTGAATTTTATGATGTTAGAGCTGCAGAGGCTGCTCTTCGTGCATTGAACAGGAGTGATATTGCTGGAAAGCAGATTAAAGTTGAGCCAAGTCGTCCTGGTGGTGCAAGACGGTACGAATCTTTAAGCTTGACAACCTTAACAGTAATCTTGTATCCTTGTACCTTTTCTTCTGTAGCCTGGGGCTTGGATTAACCATACTCAAAAAGTTTTTCTGCTGAGGGTGATACCCAAACTTATATTGGTTATTAAATTGACAAAGTACTGTCTCTGAAGCAAGTTTGCAATTTTATACACACATCTGATTATGCAAAGACTTATGTACACTTTGATTTGACTAACCTTTGCTGAGTATAGTTCTAACCTTGGTTTGAGATGTATAATGAGAGGAACTTTATCTGTTGATCTGTTACTGACTTTTCATCGCTCTGTTTATGCTGCAGTGTGCAACAGCTGCCACAGGACTTGGAGCAAGATGAGATTGATCTTTTTATGCAGCAGAACAGCCCCACAGGTAACTCCACTGTCAGAATATCTGGTGTGTAGATGCTGGAATTTCATTTGCTATTTTAAATTAATAAGCTGGCAGTTCTCTCACAGAGCATTATTAGCAGGACCACCACTGGGGACAATCACATCTAGCGGTGTGGATAATGGAACTAGTTTGGGCATGCACTCTGTAGGATCCCCATTTCTAGAAGCTGCATTTCATCAGGGGATATCTTCTAGTGTTCCTAGCAGCTTGCCTTCTTTGATGAGGGTCGGTTCAGTCGGAAATTATTCTGGTATTCCTGAATCTGGTTATACCAAAGGACAACTGGCATTTGATATTCGACCAGCAGCTGGCATTTATCCTCATTCTCTTCCAGAACATCATGATGGCCTTGCAAATGGCATTCCTTGTAATTCTTCTAATATCATAGGGGCCAACTTCAACCAGATACCACCTGAAAGAGTGGATCACCGGCAATTATGCAGAGTCGGCTCAGAAGGACACTCACTGGGACTTAATGAAGGTGGTAAGTATGTTTCTCAAGAATGCTGTGTGTGTTCTCATTATCAGAGCTGCATGCAACTAGTAAGCATTGAATTTATTTCTTGCAAATAGATGTTGAACAGGCTGTCAGCAGGAAAAAACAAAAGGCACATTTGGTAATTTAAATAATATTTCTCAAGTAGGCTCTCTTTTCAAGTCGTTTCTGGCCAAACAGGAAATCTAAAAATCCCAAACGTTTGAGTCTTGATTGCCACTGTTCTTTTAGTAGTTTTGAATTTTGGAAGATCCTTTTGAAGTTGCTTCATGGGTTAAGAGGACAAAAGGATCTGTATTTTGGCTGTTTTCCTTTTAGATGGAGTGCAATGCAAAGTATGTATGTAACTCACCGCCTCTTTAAGTTATAACTTAAGGGTCAGCTAGTTTCATTTATTCTCCTGTTAAATATGTAGGAGGATCTTTTGTAATGCTAACTCACTATTTTTTTGGGTCTTCTTTTGGATTTAATTGCATGAGCTCTCTTTCTCAGTCTTTGGAGCTGCTCTTCATGGGAGCCAACCTCTTGCTGGACATCATCCCACATGGAGTAATTCGTGTTCTCCTCAACCTCCAAGCCTCTTGTGGCCAAACTCTCCATCTTTTATTGGTGGAATCAGTAATGCTCGTCCTCTGCCAAGACTACATGGACTCCCTGGAGCACCATCTCAAATGCTCAACACAGTTTTGCCCATGAATAATCATAGCGTTGGATCTGCTCCGGCCATTAATCCTTCTATTTGGGACCGGCAACAACCATATATGGGAGAATCACCCAAGGCTTCTAGTTTTCATCATGTTTCTCTTGGAAATATGCGAATTTCTGGTGGCTCGCAGCATTCCATGGATTTTGTTCCTCATAACATCATTCAGCAAGCTGGCAGGAACTGTGTGGACTTGCCAATTGCCCCTAGAAATGTGGGACTCCAATCACATCATCAGCAGGGAATTATGTTCTCTGGGAGAGGCCACATGATACCTGTTGTAACTTCATTTGATCCTTCCAATGAGCGTACTAGAAATCGAAGAAATGATGGTGCTTCTAATCAGGTGGACAACAAGAAGCATTACGAACTCGACATTGACCGGATAATGCGAGGAGAAGATATCAGGACAACTTTGATGATTAAGAACATTCCTAACAAGTACGTAATTCCACATCCAAAAGAATACTCATCAACTTTTGTTCTGTTTAGCATATATTCAATATTGAGCAATGTATCTTTCGCAAGCATAGGCTTTTACAAATATCAGTCCTCGGCGTTTCTTCCTACTAATTCCTTTTGGCCTGATACCTAAAGGGGAAAAAAAATCCTTGTTATTCCTCTCTTTGTATATATATCATGGCCTAGAAGCTATTGTGTGGATAAGGACGGAAATGGTTAGATCTGCTGGTCTAGTGGTAGGATATTATCTTCTATTCATATCGAATTCTTCCTATTTGCATTTGACTCAGCAGTGGCACAATAAATTGTGCCCTACTAGTATAGAGTTGGAGAAAGTTCAAATTTATGACTGTATTTGTGCCTGGTCATTTGTGGTTTCGTGGGATGGATTGATTACGATTGCTTATATATATGTTTCCTTGGTAAAGGCTTATTTGGTAGTTTTTACCTCATTGCCCTCTTTGAAGCATCAATAAGAGAATCATACGTATTTTGATAGGAGCACTGATTTCTCTTTACGTACTCAAGTAAGTCTGAAGTTGCTGTTACTGTTAAACACACAGGTATACTTCAAAAATGCTTTTGGCTGCAATTGACGAACGACTTCGAGGAACTTATGACTTCATTTATCTGCCAATAGATTTTAAGGCAAGTGCATTTCTTTCCTGAAGTGAGTAATGTGGGCTTGAGGGATTAGGAGAAAGGAAGGAGTCGATATGGTTTTTCACTTTAAACTCCTATTTACTGTAATTATTATTTTTTTGATCCAATTACTGTATTTGTTTGACTTTCATGTTTGCTGCAGAACAAATGCAACGTCGGCTATGCTTTCATCAACATGACTGAGCCTAGCCAAATTATTTCATTCTATAAGGTATGTCTTAATTAGTTCAAAATGCTGCTGAATGGGGCATCTAAAGATTGTAGCTTGACGATCAGACCTCAAACATGATTCCACTTTCAATAGGCATTCAATGGGAAGAAATGGGAAAAATTCAACAGTGAAAAAGTAGCATCTCTTGCATATGCTCGTATACAAGGAAAAGCTGCACTCATTGCACATTTCCAAAATTCGAGCTTGATGAATGAGGATAAAAGATGTCGTCCTATTCTGTTCAATACTGAGGGACCGAATGCTGGTGATCAGGTATGTGTGGTCACTTGACAAAAATCTATTTTCTCCAGCCTCATATGCAAGAATCTTTGTAGCAATGTCTACCTGTTTATTGACCCACAAATGAAATAAGTTGGATATTATGGAAAACAAGTGAGGTGATATCTATGGCAAAGCCGGAAGTAGCCTCATGTTCCTGACAACTTGGATTTACAGGTTCCTTTTCCAATGGGGGTTAATGTCCGAACGAGACCCGGGAAAATGCGCACCAACATCTTTGAAGAGAACAACCTGGGAAGCTTTCCAAGCATGGCAGACGGTGAAGATTTATCCAATGGATTAGACGCAATTGCAAGTTCTGCCAAGGATTTAGACTGAGGAAGCCACTTTTTTGTGCGTACTAACTCGTAGCCGAGTAACTCATCTCTTTTACCCTAATTATCTCGACTTCTCGGGAAAAGAGATAAAACTGTAAAAGGAGAAACTAAAAACCCTTTTTTTTTTTCCTCCGGAGGCCTCTTTGAAAGTTAGAGAAGTGATGCTTAGCTAGCGCTGAGCAATTTTCCGATTTTCTCTGAGATATTTTGCAAAGTTCCTGGTGGCAAAGGAGCATTTTTTGGAGCTCTGAAATTTTGGATGATCTTGATAGTGTCGCAGGACCATCTCTATATTAATGTGGGGGGGTTCATGACAGTCAAGAGACTTCTGCTGCAGCTCATGGAGGCTTCTTCGCTATACATTCTTTTGACATTTTTCGTTTTGTCCTGCTTGTATTCCTAGTCTCCTAGAGCCCCCTGTCCCTGTTGTGAGGTAAAAACGGTCACAGGGAGAGCTTTTTTTTTTCCCCTTTGTCTTTTAGAAATTTTGAAGTGATGGTGTCAGGATTATATACTCGCATATTTATGAGAATCACTTCGTTGATTGTCTTCTATTCGTTTATTCATCTCTCTTTTTTATTTCTCTTTACTGTGGAGTTCCTTTTATGGTACATGGTGTGCGCTTATTTTGGATCTGAGATTTGAGATCTAGCGCTGTGGTTGCCACTGGCCGTGGTCACCGTCCTTTGGCGAGCCATCATTGCGACCGGTGGTTGTGGCCGTATGCCCCTATGCTTAACCAGCTTGTGGACACTCAGGTTTCATGTTTCAGATCTGAGATTTGAGCACTGTGACCACAAGGGGCTGCCAGACCGACCTACAATATCGAGAGAGCCGAACCGAAACCTTTGGGTCGGGTTTCAGGTCAATAAACAGAAGAACCGAATCGACCCGTATAAACTAAAAAAACATGAAAAATGCATCAGGTTTTCTTGAGCAGTATGACTAAAACGGGAGATGAGTAGTTCTGGAGAGAAATCCAACAGATCTAAGGGCAAAAAAGGATGACAATAAAACAAAATTGCAATGAAGAATAAATCTACAATTTGCTGCAGCTCGTGCTGCCGACCGGCAATGGAATCGACTCTGCTTGCCGCGGAGGGAGGGAGAGAGAGAGAGAGAGCGAGAGAGGGGCAGAGGATGGAAGGAGAAGAAGATGAAGGAGGGACTTCCTTCTTTGCTTGACCATAAAAAATGCACCCTCAGAGTGCAGAAAGTTCAGCAAACAAAATAGCTCGTCTTTGATTGCGGAGAATAGACGAAGAAGAAAGGACGTCCCCCTTTGCCTACCCGCCTGGATTGCTCGAAAGAGAAAACATCCATGGGCGAATGCTCTCCCTCGATAGCGCTTCTCCCGATCTTAACAAACCAATGGATGTTTATCTCTCTTCTTATCATCCGCCCATACAGTAGGGAAACGTGCTTTGATAATATTTTGTCATGGGCAAAAACTTCTGATTGAGGACGAGCCCGTGCGGAGCCTGCCATGCCAGCCTTCCCCTGATAGATTGTTCCAGGAACAATATGATGAATTGAAACTGGCCGTATCATGCCTAATTTAGCTCAAGCATCCAATTTCTCGAGTGAAGACATACAAATTGCTTCAGTACAACAATTATTTTCGGCCTGCCGCCATCATCAGGAGAGCGGTACTAGCTTTTGACCAATTTGTGCCGGGGAAGCTAACCCTTCCTTCAAATATCATCTATGATAATAATCATCCTGTCCCTGGAATCTTAACTCAAACGCCCTGACATCACTTCTAGACGGCTTGGATCAACTATCTGCATCTCTCACACTTCACCCGTATAGCATAAAGCCTCATTTTTCAGCCTGCATGGGTATGGAGAGATTGGAACTCTGACATATCTCTCTTCTTTGTCGATGAAAAGCGGAGCAAATGCTTCCTTTCCTTTTTATTTTTGGTATTTTTCTTAAAAAAATTAAATCTTTTTTTTAGGTCGCTAGTAGAAATAGAATTTGAAAGGCATGAAAATAAATAAAATCGAAACACAAACCGAACCGAACCGACCAAAACAAGCAAATTCCGATTGGTTCTTAATGCTTTGGGTAATTGACTCGGCCTAAACTGTTCGTATTTAAGCCTTTTCGGGTTGGATTGGGTTTCATTTGAATCACGAATCGAACCGATCAATTGCCACCCCTAGCGACTGCCAAGAGTGGTAGTCGTGGCTCCAATGGCCCACTCACTAAGCAACCGCTCGTGAGTGGCGGTAGCTGCGGCTACAACAAATCTCTCCTCTCAATTTTCATTTTCTTAATGGATTACATTTTTGACATTGCACCATAGTACCCACATTAGCGCCACGTGTGCAAACAAAAAATGTGACAAGCATGCTAGGTTTATTCAAGCAAGAAGTCCAGAGTTCAAATTTTGAAGTAATGAGAGGGGATGATTTAGAATTTTAAATATTAGTAAGTCATGCGAAATAAAAGAAAAAGACACCTAGGCGATGAGTTATACTTTCTCAAAATTTTAGCCTCTCGAAGTTCTTGCAACAGGAGAAATAACGGGACGTGTTCTAATAACCTTTTTTCCCACTATTTTATTAGCAATTTCTTATTTGCTATGAGATTTCTTGCGAAAGTTAAATTGAATAAGAAAAAAGATCATCCGAAAAAGATGCACGAGCGATGAGTTTTACCCTTTTGAAATTTTACCTTTTTTTTTTTGGCCAGAATCAAATACTTTTCATTGATATCTAGTAAAACCATAACCCCTTTTCGGAGTCTCAAAACAGAGCAAGTCTCTAAGGGCCTACGAAGGACAAATCAACCAGTGATCAGTGAGTGTTTTGTTCCTGTGGGTCTTCACTACCCAGTCCGCGATACTGTTTGTATTTCTATTACAGTATTGCAGTTTTAAATTAGTAAAGAGAGGCAGCAACCCACGTGCTTCAGTAATGACTACCCGCTGTTCCCACGGCAGTGCTTGTGAAGACTTCAAGGTGTTGACCAGATTCAGACAAACTGACTGGATAGTCAGTCTTTCATCCACACGTGAGGAGAGAAATTTGAGGGTTTCTACCATTGCTAGGCATTCGGCTTGCTCGGCTGAGGAGGCAGGAACGTCCTCTGCAAATCCGTCGATTAGAGTTCCAGCTGAGTCGCGACACACACAGGCGATTGATCCTTCGAGTGATCTAGGTTGGTGAGCTGCATCTATATTGATTTTCGTTTCGCCCCTTTCTGGAGGAGTCCAGGCGTCGTCGCCTTCGCTGTTCTCGGCTGCGCTTTCGTTGTCAAGGTTTTTCCACCTGCTGAAATTTCTGAGCAATTGATGTCCTCTTTCAACCAGCAACCAGCAACTTTGGGTCCGGGAGGTGCCTTCTAAAGACGAAACTGTTTCTTGCTTTCCAGATTTCCCAGAGGACTACCGAGACTATCTCTAAACCAGGTGAGCTGTTGCTTCTGTGAATATAGTGCATCAACCATTCATCTATTCTTGAAATTTGGAATTTAGAAATCTGGATGTTTAGTACAGGAGCATCCCAGACTTCCCTCGTCCATTTACAGAGAAGAAGTAAATGTTCCGAGGTCTCCACATGCGCTCGGCATATTGGGCATATTGGGTCAGGTACCATTTTCCTTTTGTACAGATTTTCCTTCGTCGAGAGTGCGTTTTGACATACAGACAAGATGAAGTTTCTGATTTTGTGGGGGGTTTTCATTTTCCAGATTCTGTTCCATAGTTGAGTTGGGGATTGGTGAGAGGAAGAGGCACTTTGAGCTTCTGTTGTTTCGTTTTTGCGGAGAGTGTTGTATCTGCTCTTAACCGTGTACTCTCCTTCCCTCGTACCTGTCCATATCAGTTTATCTTCATTTATCTGTGGTCTAATATGTATAGTGAGGATCTCATGCACCACCTGTTCTTCGAATATTCTTCGTAGGACCGGTTCCTTCCAAGTGCTTGCCTCTTGATTCACAAGTTCATAAACCATAGCTGGGTCTCCTTCATTTGTCGGTCCCCCTACAGTTCCCCTTTTGAGCCACTTGTCTTCCCTGATGTTAATTTTTTGACCATTACCAACTGACCACATGACTGAGTCTTCAATTGCCGTTCTCCCCATAAGTATGCTCTGCCATCCCCAAGATGGTCCGGATCCCTTCTCTGCCTTCCAGAAGCACTTAGTTGGGTAATATAAGCCTTTTAGGACCTGACTGGACAGAGATGTCTGGTTTTTAGCTGATAGCCAAGCCTGTTTTCCAAGCATGGCTTTGTTGAAAGCTATTAAGTCCCTAAACCCTAGGCCTCCCCTGTCTTTTCTCTGTTTTAGCACTGCGGCCTTCCTCCAATGTACTCCTTTTGTTGCTGTTTGGTTCTTCCACCAGAAAGCTGTTATTTTTTGCTCAATAGCCCGACAAACTGAAAGTGGGATCTTGAAAATTGACATGGCATATTGAGGTAATGCTTGGACAACAGATTTTAACAGAATTTCTTTCCCTGCTTTAGACATCGTGTTCTCTTTCCACCCTTCAAGCTTCATATTTACCCTTGCCAGAATCCAAGCAAACATTTGCCTTTTGGATGTTCCCCAATCAGAGGGAATACCCAAGTACTTCCCTGTCTTATCAATCTCCGGGACTCTTAGTTCTTTAGCCATGTTCCTTCTTAATTCACTCGGGCTGTCTATGCTGAAGAATATACCTGACTTGTTCAAGTTCACTGCTTGTCCTGAAGCGTAGCAATACCGGTGAATTATGCCAGCAAGGTTCTGGCATTCTTGTAACGTCTCATCTAGGAAGAAAATTGAATCATCTGCAAATAGTAGATGAGATAGTACAGGACAATGTCTGTTCAATTTGATCCCCTTTATAGTGCCATCTTGCACAGCCTTTTTCATCAACATTGATAGGAAGTTTGCAACCAGTATGAATAGGTATGGGGATAAAGGGTCCCCCTGCCTTATTCCTCTAGTAGGCTGGAAGTAATTCAATTGTTCCCCATTCACCTTGATACTCAGTGAGGTTGTTGTAACACATTGCATTATTAGGTTTACCCATCTTTCATTGAACCCCATTTTTAGCATACAGGCCTTCAGAAAGTCCCATTCGATCCGATCGTATGCCTTTTGCATGTCTAGCTTTAAGACCGCCTGAAATTTTTGTTTTCTCCTTCGAACCCTTAGCTGGTGCAAAACTTCCTGGACTACAAGGATATTGCCTTGGATTTGCCGTTCTCCTACAAAGGCACTCTGTTCAACTTCAATTAACTCCGGGAGCCATGGTTTCAACCTATTTGCTAGCACTTTTGAGATGATCTTATAAGCGAAATTGCACAAGCTTATAGGCCTAAACTCTTCCAGCTTCTTTGGGTTTTTAACTTTTGGCACCAAGGATATAAGCGTTCTATTTAATTGGGGATTCAACAGTCCAGTTTGGGAGAAGTTTCTGACCTCTGAAAATACTTCCTGTTTTGTATCTTCCCAGTAGTGTTGAAAGAACTGGCCATTCAATCCATCCGGACCCGGGGCCTTGGAGATTCCAAGCTGGAAAGTTGCTTGTTTAACCTCATCCATCGTTACTTCTACAAGCAGCCTAAGGTTAGTTTCCTCCTTCACACTACAAGAGCAATGCTGAAGAATTGGGTCAAATTGTCGATGTCCAACTGAGGTATATAGTTCTCTAAAGAAATTATTAGTCATCCTCTTTAGTTGTTCTTGATCTCGGGTCCAATTCCCTGCGGCATCTTTCAACATAGAAATTTTGTTTCGTTGTCTCCGCTGAATAGTAGAAGCGTGAAAGAACATTGTGTTTTGATCCCCCCACTTGAGCCAATTTATCCTCGAACGCATTGCCCAGTACATTTCCTCCTGACTCCATAGCCGTTGAACATCATTCCTCAACTTTTGTAGTTGTTCTTTTTCCTCCTCAGCAGTTTGCCTATTTGTTATGTACTGGATTTGTTCCATTAAAAGCTTTATTCTTGACTGCCCATTTGAGAACTTCTTCTTGCTCTAGCTTTGTAAGGCAGCAGCAGTATTGGTCATCCTGCTCGAGAGGCCCTCAGTTGCTGACATCGAAGAATTCCATGCCTTATTAATAACTCCTCTGCATTCCTCATCTTCTAGCCAAAATGCTTCGAAGGTGAAGTTCTTCTTTCTCCTCTTTTGTGCTTGACTAATAGACAATAGAATCGGACTATGGTCAGACCCAATAGCCGGTAAAGCGTATACTTCTGCCTCAGGGAATTGTAGTCTCCATCTTAGATTGCTTACTGCTCTATCCAGTCTTTCTTTCACCAGCTCTTCTACTTCACGATTGTTGGACCAAGTGAATGCACAGCCCTTGCTTTCAAGGTCCATTAGTTCGCATCTGTGCAGGAACTCTCTAAAAGCGTGTAGTCTATAATGCTCAGCCAATCTTTTGCCTACCTTTTCCCAATGATACAGAACTTCATTGAAGTCCCCCAAGCACACCCAAGGCTGCCTGTTTCTCTGGCTGATTCTATATATCTCATCCCACATCTTGATTTTATCCTGGTGTATTGATGGAGCATGAACAAATGTGACTCTCATTCTTGTTTTACAATTTTCCTCTTCGCATTTAGTATCTATTACTGCATCTGACGCATGTAAGATTGATAAAGCAGCCGGAACATTTCACAAAATTGCTAGGCCACCCCTTATTCCAATTGGGTTGACCACAAAACACTCATCAAACTTCAACTTCCTCCTCACCCAGTTGATCTTTTCCTCTCGGTTTTTTGTTTCCATTAGAAATAGTACGTCGTGCCTTTCTTGAGCCATAATGGCTCCCAAAGCTTGGACTGTCATGGGTGTGCCCAACCCCTGACAGTTCCAACTTATAATCTTCATTTTAACCCCAGTGGCTTATTAGGGCTAGCCACCATAGCCCATTTTCCTATGCCTTCCACTACCCGGATTGGCATTTCAAGCAATTGGTCTTCATATATTAGTAACGATTTATCTCCTTGAGTGTCATATGGGCTAAACCTTCTAATCTTCTTACGCATTGGAGTTTTCTGCCCACTTTGTTTCTTTTTGTTAGCACTAAGTGGTACCATAGTTAAAACCGGTCCCTTGGGGAGTGCCTGATCTCCAGCCAATTTAACATGGAATTTTCCCAGTTGCTTACTCTGACTTGCTGAATTGCTCTTATCAGTAAGTATGTTCTTTGTGCTGTCCTCCTTATTCATCCGAAATTGCTGGATGGGGCCGGAGCTGCTCTCCTCGTAAATAACTAATTGTCCAGGGTGGATTGGTGTCTCCGGAATGCTTTCCTCTTCCATATTATCAAGTAAGTCTTTACCATGGAATAGCTTCCGGAAAAAGGCTGCTGTTACTGACCTTAGCCTTTAGCCATGAGCCGAAAAGTCTGTCCTCATCCGTGTTCACATCCTCTACACTAAATGGCACCTCCTCGCAGTTAGATGCATAATGTCCTATTTTTCCACAAGAGAAGCAAAAGTATGGGAGCCTCTCATATTTAAAATCCAGCCAGATTTTCTTTCCTTCATTATCAGCAAGCATACCTGACTGCAGGGGTAATTTGAGGTCCAAATTCACTCGCGCCCTTCCATAAGACACCATTCCTCGCGTCTCAATTTTTACTTCTTGCACTTGTCCTATGATACCAGCTACTTCACGAACTACTTCCACAGAAAGCCACTCAAAAGGAAGCCTCAAAATATGCACCCAGAAGTCACACGAGTCGAAGTTATAACATAAAGCTGTGGTATTTGGTGTCCATTGTTTCAAAATCAACAGGTTATTCATGAAAGACCATGAACCTTGGTCCATTACTCTTTTCTTCACAGCTGGAGAATCAAAGGTTATAGCGAAAATACCCTGTTCTAACGGAGTAAAGTCTACATTTTCCACTCGCCATGCTCTCCTTAGTGTTTTGGAGAGCTTGAAAGTTGATTTTTGGGTTCTTGAGGAGTTGTCCTATCAACGTTAAATTACCTTCCTTTCCTTTCGCTGATGCTAGAGTACTCTGGACGTTCTTTGTGACTTTATCTGACCACAATCTTCCTAATCTTTTACACAGCATGGCCAGCCTCTAGTCTGCATCTTCTTCCGACTCCATGGAGGTGGTTGGACACCGGTGCTTCTGTAGTTTCCCGCACCAGATGACGCAAGAAAACCTTACCTTCACAGGAGAGTTCCCGCTCCAGAGAGCGATTTGAGGGTTCTGCTGAAGCGTTCAAAGCTATAGATCTGTAACGAGTAAATGGGTTTTGAGTGGATGGTTAGTGAACGAAGCATTAGGTTATGGGGAGGCTGTTTGTGATTCAAGGTGGCTGAGTCTGAAACGGGAAGGAAAACGTGGGGTAGTAAAGGTTTCCATCTGCTTAACTACAGAGAGGCTCTTACGGGGGAGCTGTTGGTGATTAATGGTGACTGAGTCTGAAAAGGGAAAGGTGAAGTTTGGTAGTTAGGGTTTCCATTTGCTAAGCTACCCAGATGGGTAGAGGGAAGCTCTTCCAAAGGAGAAGAGTGTTTTTTTTTTTAAATTTTACCTTTATCTACCACGAGAGAAGCTAAAATTAACATTTAAAAAATCAAAGAAACAGAAAAATCAAATGTGGTTTTAAAAGTTTTTTTTTGGTCGGAAAGTGGTTTTAAGAGTGGGTTGCGGAAAAATGACAAGAAACATGTTGAAAAAGAAAAATGTTAATAACATGAAAAACCCTAAACTGATATATCTATGATAAATTTACTTCAAACTAATCTTTTGACCACAAAAAACTCAAAACTGATAGACATGTACCGGTTTGAGATTTTTCGTGATATTAATTCAAAAGTAAATTGGTAAACGATCTCAATCGCCTACGGGCCTCGTATTTCTATCCGGATCAAAGGCTGAACCCTATCAAGGTCAAGATCCTCAAACTTCATTTCTCAGTGAGAAATTTCCAATTTTTAAAGTAATTTCATGTTAATTATTCTACAATATCATGTTTGATCTTTGAAATTTCAAAAATCGTATCAGTAGTTGTTTGTCCTCCAAATACCGAAAAGTCGGAAAATGATTTTTAAAAAAAACATTTTCCTTTAAATAAATGGATCCTACATATTAGATTGCATTTCGTTGCAAGTTTTCATAATTCTATTGGATTTATCCTTTTTATTTTTTTTATTTAATTTCCGGCTAATTCCAAATAGGAAAAATGAGACTAAAAAGGTCCTTGAACTTTGGCCGACATGTAATCCGGTCCATGAACTTTTAATTTGTTCAATGCGGTCTGTGAACTTTTGACATATTTTCAATTTAGTCCTTAGACTATATGAGAATGTTTAATGTTGTCTTTGATCTTGAATTAATGGAAGGATAACATAAAACATTTTCATATAGTTCAAGGTCTATATTGTACGTGTAACAAAAATCCAAGGACCATATTGAAAAATTCAAAAATTTAATGATCACGTTGCATATCAGATTAAAGTTAATGAATCATATTGGATAAATTAAAAGTTCAGAAATAAAGTTACCCGTGATCCCGGCCCGCTTGGCCCTCGACCCGGCTTACCACGTCCAAACGGACGAACGACTGAGAGAACCGTTCCGCTCGTTCCATTTAATCCGCCAACTTCTCCGTCCGTGGTCACTCGGCGCCTTCAGATCGACAGGGTCCCCTTCTTCACTTCGCTTCGATTGTCGTTCCGCCATTTTCGCGTCTCGAGAAGCTCCGTCGTTGCAGCCTTGCTGGTACGTTTCTCTTGCGCCTCTCTGCTTCTGATCGCGCCTCTCTCGCGGCCTTTCTGCATGCGGTTTGATCGGCGACGGCGACGGCGACCGCTTCTGAATCCGATGCTTTTTCCGCCGCGTCTTCCGCTGTAGGCGCGGTCGATCCTTTTCTTTTCTTCTTTGTGTGTTTTTCTTTTCCTTCCGGTTTTTCGGTTGCCGTGCCGATTTCGGAGCGAAGCGCAAGGTCGTGACTTGGCATTGTTCTTCGGAGCCGCGACGAAATGGATGTGCGTGCTTTTGCTTTGTACGTCGAGTTCCGTGTCGTCGGCCATTAGCTTTGAGGTTTTTCCATGCTCTGCGAGGTTTCTCGGTGTGGATTTGGGCAATGTGATGCCTTTGATGAGTCCGGGCGACGAGCTCTTTGCTGTTCGGAATGACGTATTTCGTGTTTACCTACTAGGATCATTTCTCTCTGCTAATCGAGTCCGTGCGTGTTTGAGCGGACGCCTTTTTGAGAGTATTCGGTTTGATTCTTCGTTCCGGTGACGTGAAGCGTGAGAATCCGGCTCTAAGTTATGTTAGGCTGGCTCTGAGGATGGCTGAATAGAGTCCTATTCTTCTGCTATGTTTTGTTCGTCTTGCTTGCGATATTTGGTTTGACAACTGGTGGCGATGTGAAGAATCTCCCGACGATCCTTGAACCGGAAGGCAAAAAGTTGAATCTATCTCTTCTGATAAGTATCGGGAAGTCCAGTTGTGAGGAGCTATGTTAAGTACTTATTGTGTGAAACTTTCTAAATTTACGCCAATTTCAACTGTACCTCGAGCTTTCAACACGTGTTTTGACATACCTGCATACCGTTCGCTCTCGACCATTGTTAGCATATATCTCAAGAAGTTATAATTAGATTTTCTATAAACCCAGGGGCTTGATGGCCGACTTCATTGGAAAATAGGTGACCTTATTTGTACACGACTTATGATCTTGAGGTTCTTGGACCTAGAGGCTAAAATAAAAGGCCTTGGATGAACGATATGACTAGCTTCTGTTTTTCTTTTCTTCTTCACCAGTATAAGCTTCTTAGATGAGCACTACAATGATAACATTTTATGGACATGATCTGGAGGCAATTAACAGAAATAAAGAAATGAAGGTCTTGGAAGATACCTTAATGCTGTGATTAAACAATGAGACCACGAGAAGCGTTGCAATGGAAGCAGGTTGTCACCAACAAGGACTGTGAAAAGATTTCAGACGAGTATCGTGCTGGATTATAGAAGAATAGGTCCACTTATGCTGTATTTGGTTCATGCCAGCCACCCAGGTCCACTCAAATTCCAGTAGTCCAATTGTGATTAGGAATTGTTTGTGTTGTAGTTGTATCCTTGGTTGACTACAGTTGACCTCTTGATTTGATCCTGACTGAATATATGGTCATTTCTTGAAAACATGTTAATATTGGATGTAGGCATGATCTTTGGGTGGGTATTTGGTAATTAGATAAAAGTAAGCAAATCATTTCGCGGAAACCTATTTTTTAAAACTCCATTTACCTTTAACATGTGGTCAAAGTTTATTTTTTAATCCTCTAAACAAGGAATCTTGCTCTCCTATTGGCCTTTACTTTGAGGCTACTAAACACTTTATTTCACAAGTAGTACATCCTTTGACTCCTAGGGGAATGTGTCAATTTGATTATGCATGTGAAATGTCTATTGAATGCTTTTACAGAAGTTGCAGCTCAATCTAGTTCAATTTCTGTCATTGTAAGTTACAAGATTCCTTTATGAGCACCTTGGTTCTATGTATTTGAATTTTGATGGATGTGTCAAAATTTTAAGGAAGTATGAAATTGATGAAGAGATTATGTTTACAACGTCCATGATTACCTTCAGTTACGACCTTAAAGAGCGCTACAAAATTAAATGTCTTTCGAGTTTATAGATTGGTTTGGGTGTGAAACTTGCAAATATTATCCACTTTATGGTTGCTGCAGTTTCTCCACGGCAAAGATGAAAGGCAAGAAGAATAAGTACTCAGGCCCATCTTTGAGGAAGGCAACTGGAAAGATAGGGAAGGGCACTTTCAAGACACATTCCAAGATGATAGTGACTTCTGCACCTGGTGGTGGTCCTCCTCCTAATACCATTGGTGTTTTGGAGGTTCGTCCAGCAATGGCCAGTGTCATAGCGTTGGAGGGTGGTCCTACCGTTGAACCAACCCCATCTCTGACACATGAGGAGAAGAAAGTGGAAAAGGATAGTGAGTGGGATGCGGGGTTTATATTTATGTGTAGTGGGAAAACGAAGCCGGAATGTTATCGATATCGTGTTTTTGGGCTGCCTATGGGAAAATTGGAAGTAGTGAAGAAAGTCAAGCCTGGTGCAAAACTATTCTTGTTTGATTTTGACTTAAAACTTCTCTATGGAGTATACGAGGCGACATCCGAGGGAGACTTGGACATAGAGCCCATGGCATTTGACCGGAAATTTCGTTCCCAGGTATCAAGGAACTTTCGAGATAATCTATTTATTGCATCTTGAGGGTGGAGTTAGCATTGCGTTGAATGTAGTGCTGGAGTTTTGGTTGATGATTTAAGCATGCAACTTGGCTCTTCTTTGATTGAAAGTGATTTTGTCTCTGGTGTTTATTGAAGAAATGCACTCTTTTGGCTTGCTGGACTCCAGTACCACGTCTGGCTCTTATCCTCTGGGAGCTTTTGTCTCACATGCTTATTCATAAAATAGTGGTGAAGTTAGACAGTTTCCTTTTTTTTCTTTATTTATTGCTAGTTTTTCGTGGTTTTTTGGGAGTTGGGCAGTGGGATATTGGTTGGAGTGAAGTGAGTTAGGAATTGCTGAGCCCATTCCAAATCCAATTAGTCCTGATTATGACCTGAACTTGTCCCAATCCTGTCTCTGTGTTGAGCACTTGAGAACTTGATACTGCACAGATGGTCTAGTTGCTCCTTTTGAGTATTTTGAAGAAATTGGTATACAATACAAAGATAGATAAAATAATTATCTGAATAATCTATTGTATTATAATGAAGGTACTTTATTAGTATGATAGTCGGGTTTGGAGTAATCACTGACTATGTTGCCAAGGCTTGTAAGGTATCTCATTGTTGATGCCTCATTGTTGTCCTACTATAGGATTTGCGCTAGTTGGGAACTCGTTTTAACTGAACCTGTTGCCATTCCTAGAGTTGGGTGGTGGCTAAAGGTATCTCATGTTTAGCATGCCCTTGGATTGATTCTGCTGTTTGCTTTTATATGTTTTTATTTATCATTTTGAGGTTCTTCTTTTATTTAATATTGAAGAATATAATTTTCAAAAGTAAATAATGGTCTCTTTGGTGTCAAGTGATGACGTGGATGATCTTTGCATTGGTCTTGCCATAACAATGTATAATGTCTTTAGACTATGAAAAAGAATGATGTGTTGATTTACTACCTCTTAATCGAATGAGTGGAGACCTCACCACAAGAAGTACAAAGTACAAAGTAGAAAACCAAAATAACGAAGCCTGAAATATAAATGCTGGTGGTGGCTTTTGTCAATGATTTTTTTGATTAAGCTGAGCTCTGCGACCATTGTTGGCTGTGGCTGATCTGGACCATGGACATGTAACTCACAGTTAGTGTTAATGGCAACTGGTATGGATCTGTAGGGATGCATAGTTGTGTGATGACTGGCCTCTAATGGAGGTGGCTCAAGATGCGTTGGTTCACCGACGGCAGAGGTTGAACTGAATTTGACTCAAATTTTCAACACCATGAGTGCCAGTGGTCAATATGAGTGTTGCCAGCCAGTGGTGGTCGTATTAGATTTTGTAGTGATACTAGCATTTGATTACTAAACTTCAGTGATGTGGTTGAAAAATTCATGTTACGCCAACTCCTAGTTGGAGATGATATATCCTTCAATGATTTTGGTTTCCAGCTAATTTATCTTACTTTTGGAATCACTTTCAGCAATATTTTTGTTTGATGGATATCTTATGTTCCTAGTGCCTTCAGAAAGTTTTTATATTGATGGTTTTCTTACTCCTTTCCACAATGTAGGTGAGGTTTAGGATCTTCAAAGAGTGTTTACCTATTCCTGAGAGTGTTTTCAAGAAAGCAATTGAGGATAATTATGTGAGCCGTTCTAAGTTTCGACAGGAGCTCAACAGAAAGCAGGTAGATGTCATTCACTTTATTGGCAACAATAGGAATATCTGGGCTGAAAAAATTCTGATAGGCTTAATCTTTGCTGTAGGTGAGGTCTCTAGTATCATTGTTTAGACCATTAGATGTGATACAACCTTCTTCTGTTGCCTTCCCCTATGATACGATGCGGTGTGCTCGACCAGCTTATGCTCTGGAGAAACATTTGGAGCCAATGTCAGGGTTTCCTCCTCGAGGAGACTTGTATCTACCTTGGAGGCAGCACCCCAGTTCCCTGGCCATTCCTAGGCAGCAATATGAAGGCCCCATCCTACAAGTGCAGTATGAGCAATATGGATCGGAAACTCATATGGGACAGATAGAACCGGTTATGGAGTCTCATTACTATGTTCGGCAAGTTGCTCTACCTCCTGAAGGAGGCTCACAAATTTCTGCAGAAGTTCATGAGCCATACTTCCCTGAAGAACCACTATATTCTGTGCATGATCCATATAGAAGGTATTACACATTTATATACTCCAAAACTAGTGTTTGCATAAAGGAACTAGCTTGGCCAATGGCAGATCTAATGTATTAATGTCACGAATTAATTACTTCCTTGTAGTACTAATTGGTTCACTGTTGAAGACCCATGATTATTAAGAGTTTTCTAGTGTTGAGGTCCTCACATCAGATGAGATAGGTCTTATCTGAAAAGTGAATTAGTTGGAAATAGCAAGCACATGGCAATGTGGACTGAGAACCAAAGGCAGGCTAGTTTGAATTGCTGGATAGTGAAGAAAAATGCATTGCTATGTGTCTGCAGCTGTGCTAGTGGGGGATCTTATGGGGTTATCTCTTGCCAATAGGAGCTTTCACCGTGGGATGATCTTTGACGGTTTCTTGTTTTTCTGGAGATTATATAAAATTCCATTTTTGGTATTTCGCTTATGCTAGTGATAGGTCTTCTGACATTTTGTCATGTTGCGTAGGCTGACCAGTGCTTTCTTGTGAGCAGATTCACGTTGATCAACTTTTTTTCAAGATATTCTTTATGTCACCTTTGTCTAACTTAGTTAATGAAGGGTTGTTTCTCTTTAGAATAGTTACTGCTGTTATTACTTTTGTGTATACTGCCTTATGGCCCAACAGTAGGACTCGGTCTAAATAAGAGGTATCCAGGGGATGACGTGAGAGGTAATCCAATTTTTTAATGCAGTTTCTGCATTACCAAGAAAGCTATTTATTAAAAAAAAAGAAAAGAAAAGAATAAACATTGATACCTAGGTACACGCAGCAATTTGGTAATTACTAAACCTTTCCTTTTATGTAAGTTCCTTCTTTCCGTTTGTATTTTGCTTTTAATAACTTTTTGCACAGTGGAAACTCAGATTTAGTTCATTGAAGAACCTGTTCATGGAAGAGACAAACTATCAAAGAGGGAAGTACCTAGGATAAGTGTTTGGCGATGAACTTTCGTTACATCTTATGTTTATTTTGAAGCTTCTGGATTCTGATAGTATTGTCATTTTTCTTTAGCTTCGTCATACCGTCGCAGCCATCTTCTTATGCATACAAGGATTGGCAATTATCCTACCAACCACATTATAATATGGCTCATGATGGCCCTGCCCAAGCAGTTACTGTTCTTCCTGAAAGATTAATACGTGAAACCGTTGCTTTGCGTGAGGCAAATCTTTCAGTTGGGCATCGAAGTGGAGATCCTTCTTCTTTAGCATGGTATTGCCCTTTGGCCTTTGTTGTGGCGATAGTCAGCTTTTAAATTTTTCGTCACATGGTCCCCGTGTTCCTCTCGAAAGAATGTAATTCTCGATGATCAATGAGTCCATTCTGATATATTTAATGTCTCACACCATTGATACTTAGAATATGTGATCCCTATAATAGTTGGTAAATCATCTTAAACTCATATGGAGAAAGACCTTTTGAATATAGATGTATTGGGAGGTAGGTCGTCCATAACTGGACCAAAATTGCTGAAACCAGTTGTTCTCTGTGTACTATGCAGAGTGCAGGCAGGCAGGTTCTGAATGCGAGAATTTGGAGCTTCATCGGGATTCCAAACTGGTTCCGTAATTTGCTGGCGATTCTCTCTCAGGACAGACTTGATCTTTGATGAGGTTTCTGTCACGAATCAAGTATTCTCGTATCTAGTCATGTTTTCGCTCCGTGGCTTACTTCTTTTTGAGAAATTAATGTACATATTGTTTCTAGAGGATTTGCTTACCTCCTCTGCTACTCTCGGACTAATAGCAGAGTGCAACCACTGGTTCAAAAGTACCTAATGACCGGAGTTTACAATGACCTTTTGCAGGCAGAAAGTGAATACATATTGCAGTTAGACTACAGTTCGATAATTCGCCTCAAAGATTACGATTCAAGTCACATGAGGATTTAAGTGTAGCACTGACGATTCGCTTTAGCATGCGATGAACTAGTGTTCTTCATTCACGTGATCTTATTTTAAAGGGTTAATATCACGAAAACCCTCGAACTGGTACACTTATGATAATTTTACCCCAAATTAATTTTTTGACCATAAAAAAATTTTAAATTGGTACACTTGTAATAAATTTACCTTCAGTTTGTTTCCGTTAAATTTTACTGTTAAATTGCTTTGTTAAATGATATGCGATAGTTAACTGATGTACCAGTTTTATGTTTTACCATCCATTTGTCACAGGTGTACTAGTTTGTGATTTTTTGTGATATTAATTTAATTTAACGGAAACTAACGAAAGATAAATTTGTCACAGATGTTCTAGTTTAGGGTTTTTAGTGGTCAAAATATTAGTTTTGGGTAAATTTGTCACAGGTGTACCGGTTTGGGATTTTTTGTGATAAAAAAAATAGTTTGAGGTAAAATTGTCATAGGTGTACCAGTTTGGAGTTTTTCGTGGTATTGACTTTATTTTAAAAGTATCAGAATCAATGTTTAGCATGTCAAAGAGTCGCTTCGATGCAGACATGTTTTTAGGACGTGTCGACATGTTGGTTCAAACGTATCATGTTGTGTCGTGTCCCGAGCTTCGCGACAATAAAACCGCGTTCGTTACACCTCGCTCCCGGCTTTGGTTTATGGTGTTGGGGATGAACAGGGTTGCTGTCTGGCCAATTTTGTTTCGAACAGAATCGAGTCATATTGAAATGCCATCTGCGGTGGTCCTCCATGAAAGGGGTTCAAAAGTCGCCGACACCTCGCAGGAACCCCGCGCGTTCAAGTCCGACCTCAAGTGCGCGCAAGTCTTAGGAGAGCGTGGTACCTAAGAGTCTTCTAATAATTGCACCTCGTCTTCCTCTCAAAGAAAAACGACAAGCTTGTTTTTATTTGTTTATTATTTTTTTCATTTTGTCGTGGGGGGTAATAAATTGAGGAAACAGACAAATTAATTCGCAATTGGAGCATATTTCCTCCGTTTATCATCATTGAACATCATTATTTCAAGATGGTCATTCAACGGTTCTCATGCTTGGCATTGCCCCAACGTTTGGAGTTGCACATGAATACGCTCCCTCCACCCTGTTTCTTTCTTGAGGATATAATAAATGGGTATTTATGGAATTGATATATCAAGCGATGTGTTGGATTTGTAAGTATGCATCGAACAAAACGGGTCGCATACTTGACATTTTGCTTTCTTTTTATAACTCATTTATATCTATCTTTGCGAGTTGATTCCTCGTTGCAAGACATACTTGTTGCTTTGGTCGGTTATCGTTGTCCTTGTTAGTCAAGACGAGTTTGGGACCGGTCAAGTCAGGCTTGTTTCTTGGCCTTCATGTAGCTCCTTATTACCAGCTTGTCCATGTCTGAAATGCATGATGTCCAGACAGCTCGTTATGTAACATGAAGGAACCAAACGTACCTTCAAATCGAGATTACATTACCAAATCCACATAACAACAGCACTCATGAAGTACTTTACTCGACTTACCTCGTCTAGATATCACCACTGTTTACGTATCCATGATGATACGCGACGATCTCGAATAGATCATCGATTTGTTCTAAATCGAGAGAATCTAGATCCTGCTAACGACACGCTACTCTGAAGAGGCGGGAAATAGTTCGTATCAAACACTAATTGCGACCTCAAAATACAGATTGGCATAGAATGGCAGAGCACAGGAACTACAACACAACATAAGGAGTTACATCAAAAGCCAAACGTTCTCCTTAACACAAGTCGTGGGTGTGGGTCATGCACGTGCGGTCTGTCCATAGACACAAGCCCCTGTCCTAGGCACATGCTCATGCATGTGGGTTCATAATTTTCTGAACAGACAAGACGTAAATCGCAAAACGTGCTCTTGTTCGCAACCAAATCTTCTTGGGGACGGTGCGTTTTTTGCAACACTTTGCCAAAAGAAAATGCAAGTAACCTTTCACAATTATTTTTTGGAAAGTATCGGGGAGATGCAATTGCATTTTCAAAAGACTTTAGTTCTTCAGCGCAAGGCATGTCCGGATGTGTTTTGGGCTTTGAGTAATTCCGGAATGCTAATAACTTTTTTTTGTTTTTCAATTTTACTCTCACTAAACTTTCATAATTTCGGAAATGTCCTCGTCTTACGCGACATTGCCTTAGCCAGCTGTTGGCAAGCTAGATTTGGCGCTGGCCAACCTCACTTGAGGTCGCTAGCCAGTGCCAGATCTTTCCAGATCTGGCTCGTTGGCGGCTTGAGGCCCATTGGCAAAGGTTTAAGGTTTTTTTTTTTAATTTTCAAAACTAGCAAAAGTGCTTTTTTTTTTGGTCGACTAGCAAAAGTACTTTACAAGTATAGTTTTTTCCAAAAGACATTTAAGTCAAAGTTGCTTCCCAATATGTTTTTAAATTACACTCTACCACACATTATTTGCCTTTGAAAAAACCATTTTACCTAAAGTCCTTTGCATTTCTCAAAGGGTGTTTTTCCAAAAAACTGAACAAAACGCACTGAAGCAAATAGATCAACCATGTGAACTCCAATATTTTATCAAGTTTTTTTCGCTTGATTGAATTGTTAAGGGAAAATTTCAAATCAGTACCCAAAGTGGGGTCATTTTCTCAAAAAGGGATCCAAAGTGGATATAGTGCCAAATAAGGGCCTGAAGTGCCCAATCAGTCTTAAATAGGGGCCTGAAGTGCCTAATTAGTTTCAAGTAAGGGCCTAGGTTCGTCGGCCGGTCAAATGCTTGAGGGCTGACAAGCACGTCACTGTTCCGGCGATTGGAATAAGGGCAATTTCGTCTTTTACTTTTTTAAATTTTTTTTATTTCTTTTTTTCTTTTCCTTTTCCTTTTCTTCTTCTTTTTTTTTTTCTTCTTTTCCCTCAGCCGGCCATAGCCGGGGATGGCGGAGGTTGTCGGCCTAGGGTGGAGGTTGCCCTCGCCGGCGTCGGGCGAGGGTCGCTCTCGCCCGCCCAGCCCAGGCGAGGGCGACCCTTGTTCGATGCCGACGAGGGCAACCTAGGGTCGGGCGAGGGTCGCCCTCGCCCGCCCAGCCCAGGCGAGGGCGGCCCTTGCCCAACGCCGGTGAGGGTAGCCTCTGCCAGAGGCCGGCAACCTCCGCCGGCCCCGGCTATGGCCGGCGGAGGGAAAAGAGTAAAAAAAAAGAAGAAGAAAAGGAAAATGAAAAGAAAAAGGAAAAAAGAAGCAAAAAAAAAATAAAAAAAGTAAAAGACGAAATTTCCGTTGTTCCGATCGCCGGAACAGTGACGTGCTTGCCGGCCCGTGAGCATTTAATCGGCCGGCGAACTTAGGCACTTACTTAAGACTAATTGAGCACTTCGGGCCCCTATTTGAGATTGATTGGGTACTTCATACTTTTATTTGATATTATGTCCACTTTGAACTCCTTTTTTAGAAAACGACCTCACTTTACGTACTAATTTGAAATTTTCCCAACCGTTAATGAACTCGAATTTTTCTTGTCTGGTGGGGACGAAGACAAGATCGGTCAAATACGATCACGTGGAAGGAATCAGAGATTGAAGCGCATGTCCAGCCGTTCGCAGACCGAATCGCAGAATTAAGGCGGGGCCACGGTCGTAGTCAAACCGATCCGAATCCCGCATAATTTCGGGGATTTGGACAAAAACCCACGCTAGATAGAGAGAGAGAGAGAGAGAGAATTCGGTGCAAACTCAGTGCATGAATGTCAACTTTTGCCGACATTTTTAGAATTTTGTTCCGACCGCATCGGCAAATCGTCAAGTCGCGATGAAGTTGGGAAGTGTTAGAAGATGTTCTCCCTCTTTCTTCATTTCGGAAGGTATTCAGCCAGGTTCAGCCAACCGGACAAAATTCACTCATCCGATTCCGTTCGAACACATGCTTTCCTGACTGCACGATAACGGGCTCGGTGACCTCGAATTTTCTGATCACTAGTGGTGCGGGGGAGTGATGACCGAACCGAATTCTCCGTAGAAGGTAGGCGACCCTTGTTATAACGCTCAGAAGGAAGTCCAAAATATCGTGTTTTTTTCCTCTTAGGTACGTCACTGTGGCGAGAGTGATCGTTCTATTGTAAAATAACAGACGATTTTGTGAATTATGACGGACTAAATACGTTTTCGAGAAATATGACCATGCTTATAATTTATAAAGGAAGTCATGGCCATGTTTACTTTTGATAATGATTGTACAGTGACATCATGATAACTAACAGAAAAAAAGTCGAATCAGACTTTTCTTTTTCGTTAGCCACACAACTTCCTATAAGTTAGGATTTAGGAGCGTTTTATCAAAGATGAAATGAATACGTTTGCAGTGAAAATGACCATGTCTACTACTGATTTACGATCCAGGGTAGGATACACAGATGAATAAAGGAATGGATTTTGTGTTTGATTGGGTGCATGACACAAATTCAATTTCCCATAAAATTAAGATTTCGATTGTTTCGTGGAAAATGAATGATTTAAAAAAATATTATCTAAAAAATTGTCGCTTGCGCCGGTTGAAATAATTAATCAATGAAAAATGTTTTCATTATCGATAACAACTTAGCCTGAACATTTTCGTGAACGATAAAATTCTTTTTCATTCATTTATTTTTGTAAGCAATAAGAACAATCAATTTTAGGTAAATATTTTTCAAATTATTGATTTTCTGTGAAACAAACAGAGTCTAAGTGCAAACAACTTCATATCTCGAGCCATTCACTCTAGTTTCAGTTCTCGTTTAATATATTGATTCATGAGGTTAGTGACACACTTTATGAATTGAAACTTATTGCTAATTTAAAGTGGGCTTCCTTGTCATAAAATAAGAAAAAAAATTTCGGCTTTTTTTTTTTTATAAACTTTACGGGTGGATGGCTTGCTCAATTGGAGGAAATAATTTAGCCATTAAGGAGAAAATCCGGCTCAAACATTCATTCCCTATGTTCCATGTCCTTTTTTTTGGCTTCGTATAGGAAGGGAATTATCATTCTTTAAATGTCCAATTGAAAAATGGACATCCCTCCCACAAGTGAAGAACGCCCCTTTCAATTCTTCAACGATGATTTTATTGCTTATATTTTCACTCTCCTCCATACTTTCTTGAAAGCAATGGTTTCGCGTAACCTACTTATGTTCCCATATTTCTTTATGTCACAATCAATAGAGGATTCACAGTCCTAGAGTTGGCACAGTTTGTTGGAGTGCAAAGAAATTTTTTGCTCAGGAATTGGAGTTTATCTATTTAAATCTCACTAACCGTGTGCAAACTGTTCTTGGTCAGCAAGTATAACAATACATCACGCTTAGCACAATCACAAGGTTATGAGGCACTTCGAGGCTAAGTTTTGTAGACCAAATATAATTTGAGACATAATAATTGTATCAAATTTGGTGTTCTTGTAAGATATAACTGAATACAAGTTGACCGTATCACGAAGTAGAATATTGAAGAACTTTTGGATTGGACAAATCCTATATGGTCAAACTCTAGAAAAGGTAAAAGAAGATAAAAATGATTGATTGGAGATCACTTATGCCCCAACCAACTAATTTGATTAGAAACCTAGTAGGAGGTATGGAAATAACTTTGCATCACAATTTGATCTCGCACGTAATGATTTTCTTTTCTTGGCGTTCTTTTTTCCATGCTTGATTGAAGGAGCATGCATCCCGACCCTTCTAATTACAATAAGGGATAATTGCATAAAGCAATATGAGTTTTGCACTCATTTATCAAACACCGTCGTGACTTTTGAAAACTTACAATTTACACCATGAGTTTTGCTATTTCAATTTGCATTACAAGTTGTACCCTCCCATTCCCACTTATTTGAACTCCCCATTTTTTCTTCCCAAACTACCTTCGTCCCAAGCCAACTTATCAATTGTAACTTGCCCTTCTATTTCCTATGATAGAGGTGGAGGGTCTGGTGTTGTATGGAGGTAAATGTGTTAAGAGAAATTGTTCAATTAGTTTCAAATCTATTGTACGGATGCCAATTCAGTGATTTTCTGTGAAAATTGGCTAGAAGGACCATATTGGCATTTTGTGCAAAAGATTTAGGATAAAATTGATAAAATTAGAAAGTTTAAATTGAGTTGGCATCCGTATATTTAGAATTGATTGGATAATTTTTCCAAATGTGTTAAGTTGAATGAGGTGCAAATTATAAATTTTAATATCTGATAACAATGTTTGATATGTGGGTGCAAAACTCAGTTTTTTTTTCTTCATTGCAATCATCCCTCAAAACTAACTAAAGACTAAAGTGATGGTCATATCCCGATGCTCAAAATAGAATGTTAAAAAGATATTACTTACCATATATTAGCAATAGGGAATGGACATCTCATCGAGATGTATATCGTGACGGGGAACGTCTAGAATTCATGTGAAGTGTGCTCAATTTCTGACAAACAAATCGCGAATCTTTGCTTGAGGAGATGCTTTCTTCATGTAGACTCGATGACTGATCGGGATCTCTGCATGGAATAAGTTCATATATTAAATTATATGTGACCTTCGTACAATGAACATGAATATAACATATATATAAATATAATAAACAAGTGTTCTCGGAGTAGGTGTATATTTGTCTTTACATGGCTTGATTTTCGTTTTAAAGCATCTTTGGGTCAATTAAAACGTCTCCACGAAATTAATAAGATGATATCTCTTAGTCACTTATGAATAGGCCTATCAAGATGGGTTACTCGAGATCTTTTGATTATTAAATAGATATTCTCCCGTTTATTGCATCCTTCCATATGAAAACAAAAGAGATATTCATCTTGCAAATCCTACTTGGCGTTATCATACTGTTGTTATATAAAGTCTAAGGTCATGAAAAATACGATCAATTCATCGACCTCTTGTGAGGTTATCTACATCACGAGCATTTTGATCCAGTAATCTGATATATATTAAGTTGTAGCTGCCTGACTTATGCCCTCGATGACAAACGGTGCCTTTGGAGTAATTATATATTTCCCAGTTGAAATGTGATGCCTTTAATTGGTCGTATTGAATGAATCACTTTGACTTCCGATGGCTCGTTTCATGGGGTCTACCATATTTTATGTTATCAAGCTCATAAAACTTTGAATGATGTAAATAAATCGGTTAGTCAGCTTTGTCAGTTTCGATTAGTGCTGATCAATACTAGTCATGCATTCGGCTAATTTGTCTTGTAGCGCCTCGAAACTTAAACTAACAGGTAAGGGAGACTACACCGTATATAAAGTCATGATACCATAACCAAGGTTTGTGAGGCAGGTGAAATCGAGATTCTCCCTCACGTGCGAACCGAAGATAAATTGTGTGAAGAATGCACTTGGAGTTGAATGGTGGGAAACGAAATGAACCTTACCAATTGGGTCATGGAAAATTGATTTTTGACCATGATATTCGAAATTTTAATATTTTGCATTTTTAAATGCCATGAATTGTTAAAAGTCTTGTCCTTTTGAGAAACAACTCTCTATTTTATTATCATCTTATTTTGTACCCATGAATTGGCTATTTGTCTGACTCCATTTTATTTTTTGAAGAGTGTTATAACGACCTGATTTTCTGTGGAAGATTTTTTACCCGTCCCGCTTCCAAATTCAAGGTTCAATCAAATCCTTGCCCTTGATCTTGTGATACGAGGGAGATTCCACTAGTCGACAAGGGCTTCATAGTTCGATCCTATTAAAACACTAATATATGTCGTTTTATGAGTAAAATTTTTAATGCTCCAAGCCAAATTAAATGTAGGGGAGTGCACACTTAAAATCGTCGCTCGAAAAGGTGGACTAATGTCTGCATTTATGTCCGCATGAAAATGCAAGTCCGCCCAAACACTCTAGCGAAATCAGCATTTATTGTACAAGATATTGGAGGAAATCAACAACGAAGTATTGAGGATGCACTCTTTGTGTATCAACTTAAGAATAACTTATAACAGCAGAAATTTTTAACATGACTATACGGGTTTATATTCTTACATTTTTAAAGTCTGAAGGTATTAATTACTAGCAACAAAAGAATAAAGATTGTAACGTGTTCGACATTAAATAAATAAAATCACTCAAATGGATTAATTATTCTTTTCAAATTCGATCAGATTTACCGTTTAAATTGAGAGAATCCGATTCTCTGATAACTATTGTATAATTATTAAGTCATCCATCGACATCAGTGGAATAGAGAGAGAATTGTGGGGACAGGATACGGAACTTAAAAATTCTTAGCTTAAATCATGATGTGCCAAAGTTCTTTGCAAAATTATACTCTCAAACGTTCTTTTAGCATTAAAACAAAAAAAAAAATGAAGTTTCAATTCAAACCCTATTTCTCACTTTCTAGGACCTAACTTTCCCACCGCTTGCTCTCCGAATAATTCTTTTAACCGTTGAACGTACAAAAAAAAAAAAGAAGCAGAAAAAAAAAAGTGAAGTTTCAGAATTCAGATCGAGATGTATCATCTCGTTTACGCCATGTCTCTTAACTCCTTTTTTGTTCATCCTCCTCAAAACCCTAGCCAGAAAGTGAGAGACAAAATATTAGTCATTTAGCAGTCTCTCTTCACAATCTCTCTCTCTCTCTCTCTCTCTCTCTCTCTCTCTCACACACACACACACACAAAGAAGAAAGCATCTCAAGAAGCCATTTGCTAATCTGAAGAACACAACTGTTTGAAAGGTGGATCATCATCGGAGGCATGGAAAGAGGTCACTTCCTCCTGAAGCACCGGTGCAAGAGAAGGCCAAAGAAGAAGAAGAAGAAGAAGAAGACGAAGAGCTGTGCAGTTACTCCTCATCCTGGTCCGAGACCGACGTCTCGGCCATGGTCACTGCTCTCACTCAAGTCATGGACACCACCGCCACCACCACAAATCGTCCCGGCTCAGATAATTCATCTGTTGAATCCACCACCACAACTCTCGTCTTCGACTCACCTCAACCAGCTCAAAATCAGGGTAAGTGTACTACTGTGTTCTTGCTTTTGCACGATCCTGAAAAAACCCTCGTGTTTCTTAAGTATTTATACTTCTACTTCCATGATTTTTTAAAGACTTTTCGTTTGGGGATCTTTTATTGTGGATCTTGGGGTTTGATACTAGGCAAAGCTGTGTTTTTACTTTCCCCAAAATCGGAAGAGAGACTTCTAGATATGCTTCTTTTAGCATCTGCAAGTGCACCAAGCAAGAGTTAAAGCGACTCTATCTCTTGTCTTGTCTTTTCTTTTTGTTCCTATTCTTGTTGAGATCTCTTAATCAATATGTGATGCAAGATTTTAGTCAAACATAGCCCTTTACATCATGGTTTTTTGATGTGTAATTTGAACTCGCAAGAGGGATTTAAAAGAAAATGAAAACAAAGGAGGATAAGTGTGGATTTTGGTGAATGAATTAAAATATCCGTCTGCACATGTGATTGGGACTACATACAAGATAAGATCCGTGTTGTCCAAGTGCAAGGCATCTCGTTACTTTCCGTAAAGAACTTGCTCGCTTTCCACTCTTTTCTTTCGTTCACATCTTCTCATTCTTGATCTACACAAAAAAAATTTCTGGTAGGACAATTTTGGCTGCCTTTTCATGTTTGCTACGTGGTTTCAGTATTGTGAACCAATATCTTTTACCTGACAGATGAGACTTCAGTTGCTTCTGCAAGTCGTTTTCTTCTGTGAAGGAGCTTCTTTAATGTTCCGTCTTTGACCTAAACTCATTCACCCAACTTGTGGCTGCACTTGATTGGGTGACGCACTTGCTGGTTTAACCCTGAATTGTCGTTGAAGTTTGAATGTGCTATCGACAGCGCAATTTATCTTCCTTCCAATGCATGACCATAGTATTGCATTACTCTAGGGTAAAATACATCCTAGTGGATCAAATCAATCACAGACATTTTGGTTATTAAGGTTATATAAAAGATAAAAAAAAATCCAATGTACTTTATATGTCTTGTGTTATCACATCATGTACGATAATTTACCTGGACTTTTTCTCTAAGCATGAAAAGCACTTGTTGATCTCCCTGCCAAATCAGAAAAAAGAAAATTTTCTAGCTTCACAAATTATGAAAATATTTGACAAGTTTCTAAATGACTCGTAATGTCCATATGTATGGCTTTCAAAGGACACGAGGTATTCGACAATTCGTTAGTTAAATCTCAAATGGTAAAGGATAAAAAGTTGAATTTAAATTTCCATCTATCTCTCTAGTATTTTAAAAAATTACATGTCTACAATAATTAATGACCAGTGTTGTTTGGAATTTCAAAAGAAATTGTGGGTCTGTGTCCTCTTGGTTTAGATGGCCTCATGTTAATTTGTAATATTTTTTCACTCTCCCTTAAATTCGAACTTGGGTCTCCAATTCTGTTACCATGCTCTTATGTCTATGTGTTTGAATACTGTTTCTCAATTCTTTTCTATGAGCTAGCAAATAGAAAGATAATGTTTACATCGATCGGATTATGAGCTTGTAGGGTATTGGAAGAAGGACCATGCTTCTTCGACATTCTATGATCTATGCCCCCACAATTCTCGAAAGTATTTTTATAAGGATTTTAAAATAACAGTTTTCAGTTCTTTCAATGTACACTTGTCATCATTCTCCACCCCACAAATCTTAAAAATCAATCGTTTTCCATTTCCGTTCCGTATAAGGATTTTTTAAATTAACAATCTTCCAGTACTTTCAAATGTACACTTGTCATCATTCTCTACCCCATGTTCCATAGAAAAATTACAAGAATCGTCAAATTTATTTGATCCATTTGCTTTCGATGCAGATGTCTTTGTCAATTAGTGTAAGAAGATGACAAATGACTCATGTTTTTCTCGCCCAATTTTAAAGAAAACTTTTATTTTCCCTCTTTTGGTCAGTGGCTCACATAACCTCCATGTAAACTTAACTCTAAACAAAAAAATTCATAAATTAAAAAGCATCAAACCAATCCCTTGTCGTAGCAATTTTCTTTTTAGTAAAGCTTTTATTTATAATCGAACAATTATGTACATCCAAAAATGTTATGAAAACTCGTCAAAGATAGATAGGAGAAGTATGACTCATGATAAATAGTGATTCCTCGAGAGAGGACAATGCAATATAAGTAGGGGCCCGAAACTGAGCCTCCAAATGCTCCTTTTGTATGTTTTTCCATCAAACTTTCTCACGTCTTGCTCTTAACCTTATTAACAGGCCTCCATTGTTTGATTTCCCTTATGTTTGTGAAGAGAATAGCAGGATGATGAGAAGACACTATAGAGGAGTGAGGCAAAGGCCGTGGGGCAAATGGGCTGCTGAGATACGGGACCCGAACAAAGCAGCTCGGGTGTGGCTCGGCACGTTCGACACGGCTGAAGCGGCGGCCCTCGCCTACGACAACGCGGCCCTCAGATTCAAAGGCACCAAGGCTAAGCTCAACTTCCCTGAACGAGTTCAAGGCAACACTAGTACTAGCATCGTTGGGAACGTGGCCCCTCCGAGCAATCTATCGTCATTGTCTGAACAAAACACCAACGTCATGCCGTTTAATCCTCCAGCGACTACGACGGCATCGTCGCATGTGGCATACCCGGACCTGATCCAGTACGCGCAGCTTCTCTCCAGTAGCGACGCGGACTTCCCCATCATTACTTCGAGCCTGTTCGGTGGAGAACACTTTGGTTCCCAGTCTTCGACGCCGTCGTCTCGACAAGACGAGATGGCTAGATCATCTAGTTCTGATTTTCAGGGAGTTGACGAATACAAGCGTGGTTACCGAAGCAAATGAAGAGGAAATTGCTTTTGTGTGTGTCTTTCGAACATTCTCTTTGGAAATATTTTGGTCTGGTATTGTTGGAATGACGCACAGATCCAAGCGTGTTGTGCTACGCTTCATTTGGGGCGTTAATTGTTTGTGTTTTCTTGCGAGGAAGGAGCGGGAAAGATTGCCAGCCATTGGAGTAATGTTTTCGCAAGGATCAAAATTAGCATGCAGTGTTGCGTTTTTCTCCATCCTAATCGGGCGCGGCCTCCGATTGCTGGCTCTTTTTAAAATTTTGGGGGAACACTGTGACGATCACAAATATAAACTCATTAATAAACCTCTCCCCCCTCCTCCATCTGTCATTTTAGCCTCGCTCAGCCGCAGCGCTCTCTCTACCAATAGCTGCTTTTGGAGTCCCTCCCCCGTTGGGAGACCTTAGATATACTTGTCGCGAAAATACTATCAAAGTCCTAAAACTTTTAATTAATGAAATTGAGTTCTAAAGTATTATATACTTAGAGTTATTATAAACTTTCGTTAGCTTCGTCCAATTTGAGTGGCAGAAAGTGTTAACCTAAATATTTTTTGGGAGACGAGGTGGCAAGTGATTACCTTATCAGAAAAAAGCCCAAAAATTAAAGAAAAGAAAAAAACAAAAAATCCAAGAGAAGAAAAGACCATTGAAAGAGAGAGAGAGAGAGAGAGAGAGAGAGAGAGAGAGAGAGAGAGCTCTGGTTGACCGTGTGGGGTGACTGGGGCTGGAAGGGGCGACGCCACCACCTTGCATTCGATATCGAGGGTTGACCACCCTTGTCAGTGCTTGGGCGCTTGGGCCCTTTACAAAGTTAGATTTAGGCCTAAACTAACATATAGAGTTGCATGATGAATGAAAACAAATTTCTATCGGAATGATAGGCGCATGTTATGTCTGCAGCCTTTTTTTTTTTTTATCAATAAAATGGTGGAGAGGGACAATCAGCGTGGCTACCCCCACTACATATTTGATCATATTTTGACTTCGAATTCATCTTTCTGATAAGATTAATGTCGGACACATACCAAATCAACCACGCCCAAGCTAAGATTTTACAGCCTCCAGTAGTGCATAACATGAGAAACGGAAGAGGAATCTCTATTTTATTAAGGTGCTTCCAATAGTTGTATACATTAATAATAAATTTGACAATTAGTGGTAATTATATGAACTAAAACTTCATATTGACAAGACACTAAACGACCGATGGAGGGAGAGGATGGAGAAATATATCGCATAAAACAAATTTCTCATGGTCAAGTTTTATTAGACTTGTGACGTATGACACCATGCTCGATGCTATACTTTCGATATAGTTTGCACCGGGGAATGCAATAAGTGATTTGTGGAAAACTCCTTTGTATAACACGTTTGAATAAAGTCTATCGGGCTAAGTGAATAAAGTCGACATCTCTAACGTTGAGGATATAGCATGTCACTTGCTTCGAAAATGCTCTGTTGTCGGAAGCTACAATCATCACTCTGTCTTTTGCATGTACGCATGCACCCAAAGTGTCGTGGGCCTCACCCCCCACTTGCACCAGAAAGTAAGTTCAAGTGGGCCACGTAAGGTCGTTCCAAGCCCACTGAAACTCAAAATCTTTTTGCATGCAGCTATCATGAGTAGGCTCACTTTCCGAGAGAGAGAGAGAGAGAGAGAGAGAGAGAGAGAGAGAGAGAGAGAGAGAGAGATATGCAGCTTCATTCTTCCAGCGTATCCCGATCTTAAGCTAAACTATAGTATGAGAGAGAGAGAGAGAGAGATATGCAGCTTCATTCTTCCAGCGTATCCCGATCTTAAGCTAAACTATAGTATGATGCTTGCAATATGTGGTGTGCAGATTTGTGTTACAACATCATCTATTTTTCTAAAAGCCCACTTTAGATAGATATATCCCGGACCTATAAAATTCTCCATTAACCTTATAGGCCAAATAAGATGTGAGTTATAACCTGGGTAGATAGATCAAACATTGAATTATTGTAATTGGTGACGTGGAAGATCGAATTTGTGTTGAACGCATAATCCACATTTGAATTTGCTTCGTAACTCTGACAAAAAAAAAATCTGCTTGGTAACCACTTAACCAACTCCACAAGGTCTATATTGATTTTTTATAGGAAAAGTACCAGAAAAGTCCGAAGCTTATTCCATTGGTACCAATTCAGTCATAAATTTTTCAATTGGATCAATTTATTCCTGAACTTTTTCGCATTTATACCAATTCAGTCCATCTGACCAATTTAGGTCGAAAATCGCTGACATAGACGTCGGCGGTCCTATGTGGTACCATAGGCGCTGACGTGGACAATTTTTGTAATTTTAAATAATTTTTGCAGATTTTTTTTTTCTTTTTTTCTCTTTTATTTTCTTTCTTTTTTTATTTATTTAGAAACTGGTGGTCGGCGAGGTCGCCGGCCACAGGAGGGTCGGTGACCCTTGCCTGGTCTGAGCGAGGGCCCCCGCGCCCTCGCCGGCCACGAGCGAGGGGCGGCGACGCCCTCGCCGGCCACGAGCGAGGGCCGCAACGCCCTCGCCCGCCACGAGCGAGGGCCGCGACGCTCTCGGCTGGTTTGGGTGAGGGCAAGAAAAGAAAAGAGAAAAAAAGAAAAAAAATATTAAAAAAATTAAAAAATTATAAAAATTGTCCACGTTAATACCGACGATGCCACGTAGGACCACCGGTGTCTATGTCAGCGATTTCAGGCCTAAATTGGCCGGATGGACTGAATTGGTATCAATGCGAAAAGGTTTAGGACTAAATTAATTGGTCTAATTGAAAAGTTTAGGACTAAATTTGTATCAATGCAAAAGGTTTATGACTTTTTTGGTACTTTTCCCGGTATTTTATCCACACAGATCATCTATTTGCTCGTTCATTATCTTGTAAATTAGGTATACATGCATTCCAATGAAGACGCGCGTAATTGGTATTCAAAACTGAAACATTTCCCTTTGAAATATGGTTTATAAGTACTTCAGAAATACCCACCAAAAAGACCCATCAGCAAAAATAGAGTAAACCATGGATTTTTACTGTTGATGGTCACGTATAAGAGTAGTTGAGAGAGTCGTAATTGTGAGCATAATCTGTTGGTCACATGACCATCCGTAGAGAAACTGCAATGAGAGGGTGCAATGCGAGAAGGTTCTCCAATGGTTATCACGAGTTGCAACAACAACGGAGAAGAGATCTATTGACCATTGTCCAAGGGCTGTCACACCCAAATTCTCAAGTGAAGTCAAAATATATCCAATCATCATCTTTGTCGGCATATATTTGGAAAACCCCAAGAAGCTAAAATATTTGGTTGGATCGATGATATCATTGCTATCGATACCGTATTGATAGATCTATATTTGCAAGCTAGCAAAATGAGTACTTTCACCTCTTCAAGCATTCCAACTCTATCTATAGATAGGAAAAAATTATTTAAAAAGTTCTAAATTTATTGTACTTTTGCCAATTCAGTCGTAAACATTTAAATTTTGTCAATTGAATCCTAAACTTTTCACGTTTTGCCAATTGAGTTCATCTGGCCAATTTTGACAGTAAATCGCTGACGTGGACGCTGATCGTCCTATGTGGTACGGTCGGCGCTGACGTAGATATTTCTTTAATTTTTAAATATTTTTCGAATTATTTATTTATTTATTTTATTTTCTTCTCTTTAAAAAAAAAGTGAAGAAGAAAAAGAAAAGAAAAAAGGAAAAATAAAAAATAAAATAAATTATTTTAAAAAAAGTTCGAAAAAAATATTATTAAAAATTATCTGCAGGAGTAGCGACCGTGCCACGTAAGATGGCCGACGTCCATGTTAGCGATTTCCGATCAAAATTGACTGAATAAACTCGATTAGCAAAACGTGAAAAGATTTATGACTCAATTGGTACAATTAAAATGTTTACGATTAAATTGGCAAAAATGCAATAAGTTTAGGACTTTTTGGACAATTTTCCCATCTATATCGGCCAAGTCTTGAAAATGTGTAGTCAAGTGGACGATCATATGGGGGGCGCGTTACAATTATGTTTCACTTGACAATCAATCACTTTCTCAATCCATCCTAGGCTCACAATGTCCCAATCTCTCCGGTCATGCACTGACCTTCTTGTCGATATCTCTCTAACCCACGAGACCCAGAATACTTTCAACCGGTGCAGCTACTTGACATTATTTTGTAGTGATCACGCTCGATTCCATTTTGGGCCAAGCCCCTAGGAAAAGCCCTCAGCTGTTGACATTTTTGTATTGCTCTCTACAACCTCTCCTAATTCATGTACTACTTGGGATGTTGCAACCTCAATTTCCCGATTGACAACGATCCTTGCCGAGTTCTATAATCAAGGGGGTCGGGGATTGAGTTTCGTAAAACACAGTGTCGATAGAGGGGAATTCATGGAAGTTCCGTCGTCGTGAGATGTCAAATATCGCATGAAGCATGTTTTTCGAGTATACTTGATCGAAAAATGTAACCTCATAATCGAAAATGGATTCAAATGAATACTGAAAAGAAGTATTACATATCTCCTTTAATTTTTCAAGAAACTAAGGAATTTGAAAGGTGATTATAAGAACAATAGACATGGACGAAATCGTTATTTGGCTTTGAGGTGTTTTTACCGCTTTTCGACATTTATTAATAGATTTCAAGAGACAAACTACCCTCATAATACAGTCTAGTCTAAATATTAACCATAAATATGAAATAATTAATCTATCACGTAAGAAAGATTGTCCATTAACAAAAATGTAAAGAGATAATACTTCGAGAATGATGATGAATCGATCCTATAGCATGTTCTGCTCAAAAAAACTTCCATGAAATTCCTTGCAAGGTCCATGATTGTCGTTAACATGTTTCATGATAACATGTCATAACGAAATCGATAAAACCGTAATATAGACAATCGACGACCAACTTATCCCATAAACATTTTACCTTCGAAAATTGAATTCAACTTTCCCTCATCTGACAACCATTTAAATTTTATTTCCTAAATCAATTCACATCTTTGAATATTCCATCTCTCAACCATTTAAATCTATTCTTTATTGATTGATCACTCGAGCAATCAACGAAGAACGACAACAGTTAGTGGCTTCTGATTGCGGTGGAAACAGAAACAGAGAACCGATGCCAATTCGTTCTTGTTTAGTCTAGAAGATAATTGCACCTATGTTCTTGATTACTCTTCAGGAAAAGTCCAAC